TGGCTTTTACTTCAGTCGAGGGAGGCAGCCCCTCTGCGCCAGCCGTGTCCATGCATCCCACGATGCCCGTGCTGCGGGTTGTGTCCTCTCCTGCTTTCCATCCGTGGCAGAGCCGTTTGATCATTAATGTTTTTCAGTTAAGAACATGAAAAGATTTTCTTTATTTCTGTGATTTGGGTGTTTCTTGTGTATTCCCCAGTCTTGGGCACAGAATTCTGAACCTTATCTTCTCTCCGCTTTTTTTGGCTTATGGTTTTTAAACCGTCAGTGGAAAATGAGCCCGGCTCTGGCCCTTTTTCTGATATTTTTCTAAGAAAAAACAGTCTGGTTTTCCCAGTATGGATTCTCTTGTGTCTAGTTGTGGTTGTGCATCCCCCCGCAGCCCCGCGAAGCCGGAGGGGGACATCTCCGCGATGTGGGATGACAGCACACGGCAGCATCTCCATCTCTGGGACCATCTCCATCTCACGATCCCATCTCCATCTTGCGTGGCCGGTGCCTGCGTGTTTCACTTCCCGACATGGCGGGACGAGCTCACCTTCACCGACACCATTTGAGATCGCTGGCGGAGAAAACCAAAAAAAAAGCGAAGCAAAAACACACGTTTAATTAATGCAAATACAAAAAAAAAAAAAGTATTGTGCACGTGTTTGAACCTGGAAACCCAGCAGGATGCAGGGAATTCGGATAGAAATAAGGTAGCCTGAGGTATTTTCCCAGGAAGGGTGGTACCCGGCACCACGGCTCGTTTGGGAGGTTGGCTAATGATGCCATGAGTCTTCAAGCACTAGGGCTGACACATCAGTGGGAAAACTCAACCGGGAAAGTTTGGAGGGAGCGGAGGTATTTGGCCATTGTGGACATCCCGGAGAGATGTTTTTGGCCATTGTGGGAAAGTCTTGTGAGTTTTTCCTTGAATTAAACAGGAAAGTGGAAGACAGATATTGGTTTTTCCTGCGCGCAAGTCCCCGCCAGTGCCCAGATCCAGAGAATTTTATCCATCTGCTTCAATAAAAAAGCATGTAAGAGAGGGAGAGGCTTGTAGTTACCGCAAATCTCCTTGCTTGGAAGCAAGAGCTGTGTCATGGTCACGGCTCTTCCCACCCATCCGTGTTTTACACCATTTCCAATTTGGTGCCGAGGTAGAAAAGAAAACCTAAATTTTCACCGTGCATTTCCAGGGCTGTAGCAGCACTGGAAACCTGAATCTTCAAAGATTTCCTCCCCTTTTCCCCCTTGGCACGTGTTTTGTCCCATCAAACAAACTGAAATCCGTGCAGCGATGGCGCGAGACGCCGAGGTCGCGATCCCGGAGAACGGAGACGCCGGGATCTTGCCGTCGAAGGACTTGGGTGATTTCTGGAAGAAGAGTTTATTTTACAGTCAAATCAGCTGGAAAAAAAAAAGTGCTTCGTTGGGATTAGGATGATGAAATCAGGTTTAAAAGCTGAAAGGCTTAAGCAGGACTCGCAGGTCCCTGTTTTTCCCAGACATTTCTGATGCTTCCAGCAGGATTTCCTGCTGTGCTTCCCTCGCAGACGTGGCTGCGGGTTGTGTTGGCACTGGAAGGGCTCTTCACTGGTTGTGTGGCACAGCTTCAGGTCTGGCGGCGTGCGAGGGCGTTGCCAAACGGCCCGTGGCCTTTCCTCAAAACGCTCCCAGCCTCGAGCGGGGGCTGAGAACCGATGTGCTCGGCACACACGTGGCTGCCGCCTCACTCCTGCTCTCCCAGCACGATGGCTGCGGCTCTTCGGGGTGTCCCAGTGCCGGGGGACATGGCACAGACCTACCCAAGCACCAAAACAGAGTGGACCCCTCTGGGATGGTCTGGGGATACCTAATAAATCGGGGCAGGAGTTGTAAGATTAAGGAGATTTTTATCTCCGGGTGTTTTGGGTGCCTGGGGGAGCATGTCATGCTCCCGTCCCCATTGTGCTCCTGTCCCCACTGGCACCACACTCCTGTCCCCAGCGGGCTCCTGTCCCCATCGCCATTGCATTCCCACCCCTGTTGTGCTCCTGTCCTCACTGCCATCGTACTCCCGTCCCCGCTGTGCTCCCACTCCTAATCTCAGCCCAACTGGGCGTCCTTCCGTATCAAACATCCATCATCCTGGCTGGGCACTGCTCTGTCCCAGCTGGGTGTCGCTTTATCCCAGCTGGGTGTTGCTTTATGCCAGCTGGGCATTTCTCCATCCATGCCAGGCATCGGTTCAGCCATGCTGTACATCACATCCCGGCCGTGCATTGCTCCATCCTGTCCGTACACCACATCCCAGCTGGACATTGATCCATCTCACCGTGCGTTGCATAGAATGGTTTGGGTTGGAAGGGACCTCAAAGACCATCCAGTTCCAACCCCCCTGCCATGGGCAGGGACACCCTCCACTCCCAAAGCCCCATCCACCCTGGCCTTGAACCCTTCCAGGGATGGGGCAGCCACAGCTTCTCTGGGCAACCTGTGCCAGTGCCTGGATCTGCGCATCACATCCCAGCCATGCAGCACTCCATCCTGGCTGTGGACCACTCCAGCTTGGCTTGGAGCATCACCTCTCTGTAGCGGCTCGTGCTGGGGGACAGGTGAGTCGTCCCCACACTGCGGCAGGGGTCCGGGCGCAGGCACAGTCTTGGGACAACCAAGAATCTTTCTCCATTGCACCAGAAAAAGAAGTGAAATTGTTAACAGCCTCTTGCGAAACCAACCCTAAATCAAGGCCAAAGGGGAAGCACGAGCCCTTTGGGGATAAGAAAAGACGTAACTCGTAGCCCAACACCGCCCCATTGCTCGGCAACACAGTGCTCAAATTCCAGCTGCTGCCAGCTGCTGCCTCCGATAGGGAAAATTCCCCAGGAAACGGCTGGAGGACTCACGCAGTGCCTGGAATTTTTCACGTCGAGCTGCAAAATAAGTGGAGAAGAAAAGAGGGTGGTGACCACAGCTGGAATGCAGCAGCTGGTGGCGGGATGCAGCCGGGGCTGTCGGCCAGGACACTCGCTGCGAAGCGATGGAATTCTGCGAAAAGTCTTTGGTGGCTGGAGGAGCTGCTCCAAGTTACCCCAAACGTGCTGGAAATGGAGCTTTCCCCTTCTCCACCTGCCGTGCACGGGCACAGCCATCTCACCGCTGTCTTTCTGCGGGCTGGATGAGGCTCTCCCAGCCCCGGGGCAGCACCGATACCCCGTTCCCACTCCCTGGCAGGATTTGACCCTCTTGGGTGCCGTTCAGCACAGCGAGCTGGATCCAGAGGGTGCCTAATCTCCCTGTGGTGATCTTAATCTCTTTTTTTTTTTGATATCCCAGCGCGATGCAGCCGCCCCAAGGACATACCCAACGCGCACATCGATGTGGGCAACAACACGCTGCTCAACGCCCGCCTGCGTTACACCTGCAACCCGGGCTACAAGCGCAAAGCCGGTACCTCCAGCCTCATCCAGTGTGTCCTCCGCGACGGCTCCAGTGAGCCCGACTGGACCCACACCACGCTGCAATGCATCCGTAAGCCCTCGTTCGGCAACTGGGACGTGCTGGGGACCGGGGAGGGGGGACACCTCTGTCACCGGCACGGTGGAGGAGAACATGGGGCGACGTGGGCGCTGCTGTTGATGGTGTCTCTGCGTTGTGTCTTTCCGAAGGGGACCCGGCTCTACCTCCGCAAACTCCCAGACCTGATCTCACGACCACACCGTGCACCCAGAAGACGACCCAGAGGGGTGAGGAAGGGGCAAACGCAGCCCACGAGGGTTGGTTCGGGGCCGCCGTGACGGTGGTCATGGCAAAACCACGGCCACCGTGGTGTGGAAAGCAAAATATTTCAGTGGTGGGACTGAATTTGGGTGAAATTGTGCCACCCTGGAGGGGCGGTATCGCCCTCGCTGCAGCCTGCGCCAGGCGAGCGTGAAGCTGAGCGCTAAAATCATGGCGCTGCCTGGAGTGCACCTTTTCATTTTTGAAATTAGAAGATTTTCCACCGTTTTCCCCAGCAGGAACCACCACCACCAGCTTGACCTTCAGCCCCTCTCCAGCAGCAACGCCTGGACTTCGGGATGCTGCTGGGCCATCACCCGTGACACCAGCACCTGATGGGCCTTCATCAGAGACGTCCGTGCTGCTGGAGACGTCCCCACCACTGGGGACATCCGCACCGGGACAGGGGACAACCCCAGGGACATCTGTGGGGACAACCCTGCTGCCCACTGCCCCGACAGACCACGCCGCAGGTCAGGCCACCTCTCCAGAGGAGACAGCAACAGGGCTGCGCTTCAACCAGCGAACGCTCTTTTACCTTCCCAACGCGTTTTCCCTTTCTCTCCAGCCCCCCTTTTAGTCAGGGTCCCCCCAGCACCTCCCACTTTCCTGGCTCTGCAGCTAAATATCTCCATTTCTCTCTTCTTTTCCAGTTTCCATCCAGACCCTGGCCTCTTCCACTGGTAAGCCGGGCAAAAAGCTTATTTTGGCAAGCAGGGGCTTATTTTCTTCATTTTTTAACTTAAAAGCCCTCCTCGGGGCTGTGGGAGGTTTGTGCCTCCAAGGGGGGAAGGATGCAGCACCCACATTTCTCTCCAGGGTGGGAAGGGCACCTCGTGAACATGCACAAAGTATTTTCGGCTCTTTGCGGAGTCGTTCCGCTTGAGCCGGGCCTCGTGGTGGAAGATGCTCATCGGCTGCCGTGTCCCTCCCGCAGGGCTCCTGGTGCTGCTGGTGGTCATCTGCGTCGTGGCCTGCTGTTGCTGGAGGATGAAAACGTAAGTTCCAAGCCCCAGGAGGTCCTTCCACCTCGGTGATGAGTTGTTCTCGGCCTCTGTGCTTTCCTGAAAGCTGGAGAAAGGCCTCAGGGTGCCGGTGACGCTCCTCTCCCCTCCACAGGCGTGCCAGGCAGGACTACGTGGTGACGAGGACGGCCATCCCCATGACAACCCTGGCCGCTGAGGAAGAGGACATGTTGCCACCCGCTGTCTTCCCCACGGGCTGAGCACCCACCATGAGACAACTCGGTGCACCCACCAGCCCGGAGGATGCTCGGGGCTCGGAGGGGCAGCCCGGCCGGCCGCGGCCCGTGGCAGAGCGCGTCCCGGTCCCCAGCCACCCCCCGTGCCGAACATGTTCGCCCCAGGGACACGTGGCCGCTCTTCTCAGCCTGAACAAGTGACTCCCATGGATGACACCGCTCCAGCACCCAAAGGTGCGTGGGTATCGCATAAGTGGCCGAACAGGGGGTGGGTGAGCCCCCTGAGCACCCTGGGGTGGCATGGAGGTGGTGGGCATCCTGTGTCAGGAGTCAAAATTCAGAGGAGGTTGTCCTGTGGGTGTTGGTGGTCAGCAGGGAGTGGGCTGGCGGCTGCCTGCTTCAGCGGAGAGTGTTTGGGGGGCAAGGGATGGGGTTTGGGTGCTGGGGGGTGAAGCTGGGCTGCCCTGTCCCAAGAAGTGCCTGTTCCCTGGTCTGGAGCAAGGCCAGAGTTGGGCCAGCTGGACACCATAGAATCACAGACTGGTTTGGGTTAGGAGGGACCTCAAAGACCATCCAGTTCCATCCCCCCTGCCACGGGCAGGGACACCCTCCACTACACCAGGTTGCCCAAAGCCTCATCCAACCTGGCCTGGAACACTGCCAGGGATGGGGTCCAGCCCTGTCCCTAGAGCTGCTTTGCCCCCAGATTGCCCCAAAACCCAACAGAGAGAGAGAGGGACCCAGCTGAGCACCCCTCCTCCGCATCCTCACCCCCTCCCTGCTCTCTTTCAGCCACTGCCCGGTGAGCCCACCACCGCCGCGAGGGGTGCCAGCGCCGTCCCACCGCCAGCCCTCGCACAGCGCTTGGGGGTCCTTCAGAGGCACTTTGACGCCAACCCCAGGTGCCCCCTGGCAGCTGGCAGGGGATCACGAGCAGGAGCGATTGCACTACAGACACTACCAAAGACTGAAGGCAATAAAACAACCCAGGAACTCTTTTCCTTCCCATGTTTTCCCTTCGTCCATCACCAGTTGTTACCTGCCCATTCCCCCCTTGGCACACAACAGGCAGCTCCATACTGGTGCCAGTTTAGGTATAAACGTGTACATATTGTATAGAAAAACACGCACATGGCAGTTGATTTTTTTGTCTGGTCTGGTGTCTCAGCAGCCCTGAGGGTGGGGAGGACAGTGGGACAGCTGGGAGCTTGGTTGAAATCGATCCCCCCAGCAGCAAGGGCTCACCGGCCACCGGTGGCACCGCGCTCCGGAGGCAAAGGGTGACGGCAAGGTGGCAGCTGCCATCGCTCCTTGGGCTCAGCCAGCTGGCTAAAGGGTTTTCAGCAGTCAGCTGGAAACCAGTAGGTATCCAACAACTTAATTCCCACGTCCTTTCCTCGCTGTTGTATCTTTTCCTCCTGTTTGTGCCGCTGCTCCGGACTGTCGGAGCTGGAGGAAGCAGCGCTTTGGATGTGCGACGGACCAAACCTTCCTGCAGCGACCGTGCCTCTTCTCACCGTCCCACGGGACGGGCGGAAAACGGGTGAGCTTGGAAGGGTTTGCTGGAGGTGCCTGGTCCAACGTCCACACCGAGCTCCGCCGTTAGATCCAAGTCTTGGGTGAACCTCTGCCCGCGCTTCGGCGAGCGGAACAGGGAAAGCCTTTCTGGAGTCGGTGCTTTGAAAGTGAAAGGAGAGCCAGCGGAGCAGCTACCCTTGAATGAAAAACCATGGAATGCATCAACAGGATGCATGGGCTTCCTTCCACAGGCATGGATGGCTCAAGGCTCTGGGCCCATGGCCAAGAGCAGATCTTTTCCGAAATGGGTTTCGGTTTTGATCTCCGCAGGACGCAGAGCCACAGTGTCTTCAAACAGAGAGCGTGAGACATCATCTGATTTAGGAGAGCATCATGCTGCACCACCACTGCCCCTGTGACGGCAGGTAGATAAACGCAACCCGAGACAACTTCTGAACAGAAAGGAAGATAAAAAAGAAAGCACTAAGGCATTTTTTTGTTGTTACAAATTTAATTTCAGCATTAAAAAAGCGCTCTGAGTTAGCCTGAAACCAAAGCAAAGCAGTTCTTCAAGTGTTGCCTCTCGTCTTCCCTTATACTTTGCTGCAGGGAGAAGGGAATGAAAGAGTCAGGGAAAACCTCTTGGCTGTAAGTACGGAAAATTAATTTAGTTGGGAGAGATGAACAACTTCCTCCCAGAGCTGATAGTAAAATCTTCCCCATTGAAACAGGCTCCAGGAAAAAGGCCATTTTCTAGGAATAACATGTTTCTTCGGGTACTTTTCAGTGTCTCATTTCGTCTTCTGGTGGATCAGAGGGATTTCACCGAGGCATGACGTGATGGAATAGGCAGGGATATCCTGGCAGTTTGGTCACTGGAGGCGTTTTCCTGGTGACAGAGGGAACGGAGAGGTAATGCTCAAAAAAATAAAAAGCTGTCCTGCCCAGTACAGTTTATATAATGCATATTCTTCTGTGCAGCAACGCGGGTCGTGCCCACCAGCTCCTGGAGGGCAAGGCAGGGCTGGAGAAAGGATCTCACACCTCCTTGCAGAGAGCCTGGAAGGTTCCTCTCAGAGCTGGTCTGAAATCCTGCTTCAACATCCACCTGATTTTGGAGCTGGGATGTTGACAACAGCTCTTGTCCCACACCCAGGATGGCTCCAGGCTGCAGCTCTGGGGAGTTGGGCTTCGTTAGAGCTGGATGGGCTTCGTTAGAGCTAGATGGGCTTCCTTAGAGCTGGATGGGCTTCCTTAGAGCTGGATGGGCTGTTCCTGAAGCACTGGGAAAAAGGTCAGTGGTGTCAGAGAACCAAAGCGCTGCTGCGTGCAAGCGCGGCAAAGGTAGCCACCAGCATCCCTGCTGCCATTGCTCTGCGGGAAAAAGAGAGATTTGAGAGAAGAGGAAGGCTGGAGGAAGACTTCCAACCTCGGATGCAACCCCCTCACAGCCAGGGAAGAGAGCAACGATGTGCCCGAAGCATCTCCTGCCACCTCCCTTGCAAGGAAATCCCTTATGGGACAGTTTGTTTAGGAGCTGCAACGACCAGAACGTCCCCGTGCAGGTCTTCGCTGGGGAAGCACAAGGTTTTGCCCCGTCTCGGTGCACGTGGCCCCTGCTGATGGCTCGGAGCCATCTGCTGTCTCTTGGCCTGGACATGGAGTTTCACCAGATTTATTACGTGCTCACTAGGGCAGCTTGGCCTTTACTGCACCTTCTGGGCAACCCTGGGAGCCAGAAGGTGGGACTGAAGCCAAAACTGGACCCAGAAGTCAGATTGTCACCTCCAGCTGGCAGCAGCCAGGGGTGCTCTGCAGACCTTAGATGGATGTTCCATGGGCTCAGCAGAGGCTCCAAGAGTCAGAAATAGGATCTGACACAACAAAACCCCCAAACTAGCTGCAACTGGGACCACGATTAGTCTCAGAAGAGAGGTTCAGGCTTGAGGGGATCTGAGGGAACTGCAACACTGCCCTGAATCGTCTGGTTGGGAAGTCACCCCCGGTGAGGAGCCGGGGTTGTGAGCGGAAGCAAAGGGCCAGGGAGCTGTGGCTTTTTGATGTTCCCTGCTGGCTGCCACTAAAGCTCAGCACTGAGGTTGTCCCTCGTCGCTGCGACAGCTTAGATCTCAAAGGGCCAGGGATGGGACGTACGTGAGTCAAAGGGAGTTTCTTCACGACCAGCTGGGAGCTGGATTCCAGTGTTTTCGTACACTGCGGCACAGAACAAGTTAGGGTGGCCCCGTCCTTCGCAGCCCCGCTCATCAGCTCCACGCGAAGGAAACGCTCCTAAGAAAGAAGAAAAACAGGGAACGCCAC